AAAGAGTAATTTAGTGAAAGCCTCGCAAATTTGGTATGCTAAACATTTTCTCATTTAAAGTACCGGTAAGCCTTGATTTCGTTGATTAGATAGAATGAAAATCGATAAAAATATCACCAATAATATCCATGTTCCACCATCTATCCAGATATGGTATATAAAGTCAGAGACTTTATACAAAATTCGTCTCAATGGATAATTCTACTCCATTTGTATTCTTCACCTGTGCTTGCATGTCTGTTTTTCAGTTTAAATATAAATATACTTGGCAGTTAGATTACAGGATACGAAGGTATGACTCCTTATTCCTCAGGAATGGGAAGTCGTAAAGGTTTTTTTTTAATGGGTGATAATGGAGTGGTAACCCCGCCTGCGCTATCGGTATACACTGGCAGGGCGCCAGTGTGAGATGATAGGTGAGGTTAAAGCAGGTCAGTTAGCCCATCGTGACGAATTCAACAAGAATTGGCAACGCATGGGGGGTATCATGGGCAAAACAGTATAGTCTGTTATGTCCATGGTCATAATGTCATGACCCTGGACATAACAGTCTATAGGCGACGGTTACTACTTTCCATCAGGTGGGCCGTCAGCTTGTGTGCCATTCTAAGTTGTATAAAACACTAACAGTGACAAAATAAAGAATAATACATAATATTAATCGAAGAAAACATTAAGTAAATTTGCCACCAATACCGTTTACCACAATTTTGCTACCTAATAAGCAGTTTTATGCTCTACTAAAAAAGACATAGATTCTATGATCACAAATATGATATAAATATTAATATGGGGCTAAGCCTTACTGGTTACAAAGAGAATTGTGAATATTGTTTCTCAATCAGCAACAGTATCGCCTGAACGTAATGACAATGCCATGTCAACTATCCTGTCGATAGATAGAGACATGCAATTAATCCTGTCTCCACTCTCAATTTAACGCATATTGACTGCAAGCGTGCCTGTAGTAGTTAGAAAAGATTGGTTACTAATGGGAGACAGGCGTTACAGATATGTATGTATGTATGTATGGTTACTATTATTAAAATCCAGCGTTCAATATGAATATAGAGATTTGTTAGTTCAATATAAAATCCAATTACTGACATCGTTTGTTTGTTGCGATGAATTTTACCAAACGAATATATTTTTTTAATAAGTTATATTTACCCACTGTTATTTAACAATTTTTCTTTTTTGCTAAAAAACTTGTGTATGTGCGTAATTGGTACTGCTAGTTTACAAGCAATTTAAAATCGTCATTAATTTTTTAATTTACTACATTGAGAACAGCCCGCAAGAAACTCAACAGTTAATCTTTTAAATCTCTGTTAACTTATATATTATTATAAGTATACATACATACATATGTATAAACGTATTTTTTTTTATACAACTTAGAATGGCAAACAAGCTGACGGCACACCTAATGCAAAGTGGTAACCGTCGCCTATACACATGAGCAGTACCATGGACATAACAGAGTATACTGTTTGGCCCATGATACCCCCCATGCGTTGCCATTCCTGAGGACTCAGATGTTATTCCTCTGTACCCAGTAAATTCACGACATATCCCACCCTTCAAACCGAAACAAAGCCATGCAAACACAACTGCATTACAACTGCAACTGCAACAATACAAGCGTGTCAAAAATGAAACCTAACGGTTATGCTAAATAGTATCACAATCACATTTGCATATACTTTTACGCGAACGATAAGCATGTAGCTGTTCAGAGTAGATAATTAACGAAAGAACTAAATTGTATATGTACATATCATTCAGAAGGTATTAACAATAGAAAATGTACAGAAAATAAAATAGAAATTATAAAACATGTAGTATAAAAGGCGAAAGGTCGAGATAAAGTGAATGGCAGGGAAAATGTATGCAAGAAGAAACGTTGCTGTCATGTCGTTACGACCAGTCTGGAAGAAAGAAATGAAATAACTATGTACAATTTAATAACCCTAATTGATGGTGAAGGAAGTGATGTTATTTATAGGTGGCTGTGAGATTAATATATACAATATTTATTTAAAAAAGTCACTAACATTTTTGTTGTTTTAATTCTTATAGATTTAATTACTATATCATTTTTCAATTACTTCATAATATAGTGATGGCCCTTATATCCCATTGCTAGCAATATGCACTTAATATTTTAATGGGTGAAAATGGAATGGTATACACCGACGAGGCACCAGTGGAAGATGATAGGTGAGAATGAATGCAGATCAGTTAGCCCACCACGATGAATTCGACAAGAATTAACTATAATGGTTTCCAGGAGGAACCGCGTGAAGGTCGACCTAAGAGGGTATATTGCTAGCAATGGGGCTATTAGACCTCATTACTAGCAATCCCTTTCCCCCTTAATATACCCTATTAGATCGACCTTCAAGCTTTCCTCCTCAAAACTATCGTAGTTAATTCTTGTGAAATTCATCACGATCAGCTAATTGTCCTGCTTTTATTACCACCTATTATATTTCACTAGTGTACTGCCAGCGTATACCATTAGCACAGGCGGTGTTACCATTCTATTACGACTTATTAAAAATAATGTTATTTTCACTATGTTCGGAACATTTTGTCAGTTGTTTCCGGAACATGCAACGAATCCTCTTTAAAATCATTGGTTGGTATACATTGTGCGACAAACAAATCCCTATTTCACCAGTTATGGCGTCTACAATCGGACCGTTAGTTTGTCCGACCATTCGCTTTCCATAAATATCCCAAATCCCTATCTCCAGATTTTATGTCCAAGCGATTCCTTTGAAAAAGGACATTTTACGAGTGCTGCTTGTTTACTTCTGTGTTTATCTCGTACGAATTTATTGCGCCAATAACTCGGTACGGGGGAAACTATCTGCTACCCAGGGCATCTTGTTATGTCCCCTTAAGAAATTGTCTTTGCATATTCGTCGTATACAAAACTAGGGGAGTTGTATTTTATTTTTGTACTCGTATTTGTTACAAATCTTATGTCAAAAGGTAAAAGTATTGTTGTCACTCGAAGTCGATAATTTTAATTGTCACTTCGAAATCTACGCCAGTTTCTCAGTATTTCAAATGTCAATAATATTTTTAGATGTCAATTACTGATGACAAACAAAAAAAAATCAAAAAGTAAATGTTTAAATCTAGATTAATGCAATTTAATGTTAAGGAGAATGGAAATGGAAAATTTGATAAAATATTTAACAAATGATAAATAAATAGATCATTAGAAAATTTGTTTGCATTACTTACAGCACAGAAATAACAACAAACATAGATAGACATGTACAGTAAAAAGAGATAAAAGAATACGCATACAAAAAAAAATGCATAAAAGAAGTAACAATTTTTCCATTCATGCGTATGCCACAGTAACACAATATGACCACAACTCAGCTTGTTGCTTTGCCCTCAAAAGAGCAAGACAATTGAAATTACGTAATTTAATTTTGATGGGCATTACTTCTACGAATTTTCAAACGCATTCACAATCTCAGGTGCGTACATTGAAACTACAAGGAATAGGTAAAATTGAATCACGTCTTACAAAAGACGATATTAAAGCTTATATAATTAGTGAAGCGTATTCAAGGTTTGATTGAACACCGTCTTATAATGAGAGCTGGTTCGCTCGTGCCATGAATACGTGATACTGGAAACCAGATCCAGTTATACATTCCAGTATATCGGTTTGTGTTCTATGGCGCATTGAAATGAGTTTCTTTATTTACTTTAGATAGATAGATACTTTTTTTGTTTCCACCAAAAGATTACAATAGTAAACTTATTATAAATATAAACAATTACAAGAAATAAACACAATGAGAAAACAATGGGCGACCTTATCGCTAAAAACTATCTCTTCCAGGCAATCTTTGGATGGAGAGGAATAAAAAAAATAAACAATTTGGTCGCTAAATTTAGCAAACATTGTATCATTTTATAGAAGGTATACAAATTTATACTGAAAACAGAAACCTCTTTCATATTCTCCCATTTTATTGTCTATATTCGCCTATATTGGGCATAAAATAGGCCGCCCCTACCTTTCTCATGGGTGTCATAAGAGGCGACTAAAAGATATTATGGTCGAGGGATGGGCATCAGCGTCCATTTTAAAATATCTCCAAAGCCTGACTGTAATTGCCAATTCACCTGCCAAGCGTGACAACTACTAGAAAAACTCTCCTAGGGCTGGCTTATGTTCAGCAGTTGACATTTAAAAGTTGGTATGATAATCATAATTGTCTATATTTATTATTTTATTATCATTTTTGTTACATATCTGAGCAGTAGAAGACTGCTAAAGACTGTGTGTATTTTTAATCTCTTATGTTTTTACAATTTGTTATCCCAATGTCGGTAATCAGAGATTATTATTGTTATTATTGTTTCTGGCATCACATATCAACTATATACAATTTTTCATTGTATCTATATTCCAAAATGTTTTATATAAATGACTTTTTTATACAACTTACAATGGCAAACAAGCTGACGGCCCACTTGATGGAAAGTGGTAACCGTCGCCTATAGACATAAGCAGTACAATGGACATAACAGAGTATACTGTTTCGCCCATGATACCCCCCATGCGTTGCCATTCCTGAAGACTCGGGTGTTATTCCTCTGTACCCTGTAAATTCACGCCATATCCTACCCTTCAAATCGAAACACAGCCATGCAAACACAGCTGCTTCATGGTAGAAACACAAATGGGACAGAAGTGCCCAAGTAATCGACTTTTGTACAAAGTCTCCCTCTGGTATTAGCTTACATTTCAAATGATTTCCTATAAGAGATTAATTAGGTTTATAATAACATCTTTTATTGTTTTATTTATGTTTACATAACAGAATAGAAGGTTTTTTTCTGTCGTCTACATTGTCCTTTACATTCTATCTTTTATGTGACAATCTTTACAGTCTTTTTTATATGAAAATCTATGAAAATAATGCAATATTTATTTAGCAACTTCTAATTTGTTTCAGATAACCAGTAAATGGTCCGCAAAAGCAAAGTCCGTTACCAAAATGGTCGACTTATAGCACCTAGTAACAGACAGTATCTAGAACTGTGGCGGTGGAAGCGGAAACATGTTAATGCTGATCATTGTATACTTCATTACACTTCCCGTATTGACATCGAGGCTGGTGAGAGGCGATACCACGATGGACGAGAAACCTCCCCAACCGTTGATAAGCTCAAGAGTCGTCCGAACCAAGTACGGAGATATACGAGGGTTCATTGTCACCCCAGAGTCTCGATTCCTCGAGCCGGTCGAGGTCTTTCGAGGCGTACCCTACGCGTCTCCTCCAGTTGGTTCCTTAAGATTTATGCCACCAGTATCTGGTGCTCAATGGTCTGGTGTGAAAATAGCTGAAGAATTCAGTCCAGTGTGCCCTCAAGTACTGCCTGATATAAGAAATGAAACTGCCGTGTTAAAGAGAATTTCCAAGGGACGGTTGGAATATTTAAAGCGAATTCTACCCTTCCTAACAAATCAGTCGGAGGATTGTCTATATTTGAACATCTACGCACCAGCTCAAGGTAATTCTACTATTTATTCACCATTACTTTAATTTGCTTCTTACGATCCGTTAGAGCTGAATCAATTAGAAATAATTATGATTTGATGCTTTATAATCATTTATATCTTATATTTGGGAATAATTTAATAACAATTTATGCTCCAATTTATCAATTTGATACAATGTACTATATTTATATTATATAAAATCTTAAAAATAGAAAAGCCTGTAAATAGCGTTGGTTAAATTTTGTAATCAAATAAGCAAGGAAATAGAAACTGTTGTACATTTTATTATAATAAGTCGAAAGTATGAAGTCGGTTAAAATGTATAGACGTTTAGTTGAATAACAACTTTCCAAAAAGACAATCCAAAATCATGATAGTATGAAGTAGCATTAATGAAATAATTTCGTTTACCTCACTATCAAAATTGTGAGAGAGCTAGTATTATAAGAAAAGTTGAAGGATAAATTATTTACCAACTATAAATGGTAGAAAATTTAACTACAGTAACATATTATAACGTTACACACAATTTTTGGATCGGGATAAATTAAGTTATAAGAATATAGGGATGATTTTCAGCAAGTGAAATTTCAGTTTAATTTCGGTAATCTTTTTTAAAAAAAAATAATTGTCTCTAAAAAGCATTTCATAAAATCCTCCTTTCCAAATTTTGGGGGTATCGGCTTTTCTGGAAACTCAAAGTTTAAAGCTTAGTTAAGAGCTCCATCGAAATTGGACAGAGACCGCATTTGGTGAAAATCACTTAGAAACATTTCATACTTGGTTCTCTACATACGCTAAAATGTAACTGTCATAAAGATAAATCATCACCATCATTTCAACCATAGGCCTCCACCATGGACTGCCACAAGGAATGGTTCTGAACCATCTGCATCCACTGACTCCCTGCAATAAATTTGAGGTCGTCACTTCATCTAGTGGGGGTTGCCCTATACTGCGTTTGCCCGTACGGGGTCGCTACTCAAGAACCTTTCATCCCCTTTGGTTGTTGGCTTTTCGAGCTATATGACCAGCCCATTGCCACTTCAGTTTGCTCATTCTTTGATATGACGAATTATAAAGATGGATATTATGTAGAATTTAATTTATAAGAGTTAATTTTAACGAAACGTTAACAATAAACATAACAGTCCTATATAGATATTATTTATCAGTAATCAAGTCGCGTTACATCGCTACAATAAATTTAAATATACGTACAAAAACCATTGTAATTAAAAAAGCCTACGTAAACTCGTAAAGCGGAAAACGTCAATGCTCACAAAAAAATCGATTAACAGAGGCCAAGCGGTCGACTGAGCTAATTTTCAAAAGAGTTTTTGCCCTTGATGGGGGAAATCACATTCATCGCGCTGTAACGAGAAACGGACGGAAAAAAATTGAATGGAAACAGGGCGAAATTAAAAATGATACGAATGTATCCCTTTGTGAAATGTGCGCCTCTCTAATTGGATATGAAGTGAAAGCAATTAGTGTTATCGCTGTCAAATTAATTGCGGTCATATTTGTTTTTAGGTTGTAGTAACGTTTCTGATGGGAAAAAAGGAAAGGAGAGGAAAGAAAGCAAATATATTTTAATCTCACATTTATAGATACATACATACACACATGCACGCACACGCACACGCACACGCACTCGCACACGCACACGCACACGCACGCGCACACGCACGCGCACACGCCCAACACACACACACACACACATGTGTGTGTGTGTGTGTGTGTGTGTGTGTGTGTGTGTGTTCACATATATTCACTAAAATAATGAATATATACCGTGTTTTTCTTGAAAGTGACGCAAATTTTTAGTTGCACTAATTTTTAGATAGTATCTCTTTATTAGAATATATAATTTAATAGAAAAAGGACTAGTCTAAGTCTATGAAATTTTTTTAGTAATATATTATATATCCATTTTTTATAGGTTCTTTGTTATTCTACTGATTGATCCTTATATCATTCCAATTATTTTTATTTTTAATTTCTTTACTCGTAATATAATATCAATAAATAAATGAAAATGTAACGCAAATTTAAATAAAATAAAAGTAAATAATAATAATGATATGTATATTAAATTTTACATTATTTAATGATTACATTATTTATTTATTCTTTATTGCACAATAATACTTTGTACAAGTGGCGAGTTTAATGCCGTATGGCATTATTATTGCATCAGGAATTACAGTCTCGATAAAATATTTTTTTTTATTTAATTATTCTGAGTTAATTTTTTTTTATACAACTTAGAATCGCAAACAAGCTGACGGCCCACCTGATGGAAAGTGGTAACCGTCGCCTATAAAGATGAGCAGCACCATGGACATAACAGAGTATACTGTTTCGCCCATGATACCAGACATGTGTTGCCATTCCTGAGGACTCAAGTGTTATTCCTCCGTACCCAGTAAATTCACGCATTATCCCACCTTTCAAACTGAAACACAGCCATGCAAACACAGCTGCTTCACGGTTGAAACACGAATGAGACAGAGGTACCCAAGCAATCGACTTTTGTACAAAGTCTTCCTCTGGTAAAATAATATGTAAAGTAAATAATTATTTATTAATTACATTAAAAATTATGTCATTACAAAATAACAAGGCGTTTTCACATTAAAGTAAAAAAATTAAAACGAACTCTTCACTCGGAATGAGGACCATTTTTAATTAAAACTCCATTTTCTGGAATTAGTAAACGGGGATCTAATAAAAGGCCTCTCGAATGGAGATTATTAATAAGGGAAAGGAGGGTTGGACCTCGTTCCCTCAACGCACAGGTATACTTAACGTCAACTTGTGTGGCTTCGAAAAAGTCGTATACGAGTATAGGCATAGCAGCACCAAAAAAACCCGTGTTGCATTTGAGCCGAGAATATTAGGAAAATCCCTCTGCCTTCATGTTCGCCTGGTTACGTCAGTACGCTTTTGTCACGAACGCAGGCAGATGTATACAGCTTTGTGTATGCTTCGGGTGGCAAGTGATAAGAGAATGGAGTGACGTCGTGTTCATTAGAACTATTTTCGTTTATTACATAATAGATCTTGTACGAAATTGCATACGATTAAAAATGAAACGTACGTACATACTCGTACTTATGTACAGAGGTGTCGGTTGCTGTAACGGTAATAGTGTTGCGAGTTCAATGGTTTTTACCCATCTCAAAAAATGCCCAACGCATTTAAAGAAGTTTTTACTTGGAAAAAGTCGTTAGTTTTTTTATAGAAAAATTATTTGTTTCTAAAACTATAAAAGGCTGAAACTTTCAATAAGTTTGTTTTTTGATGAGCGAAAATGGAATGGTAACCCCGCCTGCGCTAACGGGATACGCTGGCGGAGCACCAGTGAAGGGTGATAGATGAGAATGAAAACAGGCCAGTTAGCCCATCATGATGAATTCATCAGGAATTAACCATGATAGTTTCCAGGGGAAACCACGAGGAGATCGACCTGGTTGGGTATATTGCTAGGGATTTTTAGCCTCCATTACTAACAATCCCTTTTCCCCCTTTCAATAAGTATTATAATATATAAAGATAATTTATTTAGGTAAAATCTAGCAACACAGCTGCAATTTCGGTAGTTAATTACTATTATGTCAGCTGAAGTATACCTGAGTCCTCAGGAATGGCAACGCATGGGGGGTATCATGGGCGAAACAGTATACTCTGTTATGTACATGGTACTGCTCATATCTATAGGCGACGGTTACCACTTTCCATCAGGTGGGCCGTCAGCTTGTTTGCCATTCTAAGTCGTATAAAAAAAATACACTTTCAGCCCTTGTGTTGTTAAAAAATACAATAAGATTTTCTATACCTTCATGATTATAGGATTTTCAATTTTAATTCGAAAACCACTCTTATGGAAGAATGGATTTGCCCGCTATATATTTAAATACGATTGGAAATATATTATTTAAATTTCTTACATTCTTATTTTTAATCAGTCTGGAAATGTTTTTCTGTCTGTAGGCGAGCTATTAGTTTACGTGTGGGCTGTAAGCTTGTTTGCTTATTCTAGACACCTATCAGTTTCTAATACAGCGCCGTGAAATAACGATACAGTGTCTAGATTTATGTACCCTAAAGGTCCTTAGTTCAAATCTAGGTGACATCAAAAATTTCTGTGTATCGATTTAAATTTTTAACACTCTTGTGAAGGTTAAAGAAAGAAGTTTTAAAATATTAACAGATATATAAATAATATAATAATAATAAAGGCTTTATTGCTAAAGTACAAATAATATATACGTATATGTGTATTCTGCCAAGGGGGAGACTTATGTTTAGCAATAGATTGTTAAAGGCATTGTATATTGATGATGATGATGATGATGATGATGATGATGTCAAATTCAAATCATCTATATTCAAATAGACGTCTTTACAAGCACTTTTAAATCGTCCTGACCTCACTGGTGCCCCGTTATTCTATACCAATAGCGCAGACGAAGTTACCATTCATACATTTTGTTCGACTGTCTGGACTACATACATACATACAGAGGGAGATTTTGTACAAAAGTCGATTGCTTGGGTACCTCTGTCCCATTCGTGTTTCTACCGTGAAGCAGTTGTTTGCATGGCTGTGTTTCGGTTTGAAGGGTGGCATATGGCAGTGAATTTACAGGGTACAGAGGAATAACACCTGAGTCCTCAGGAATGGCAACGCATGGGGGGTATCATGGGTGAAACAGTATACTCTGTTATGTCCATGGTACTGCTCATGTCTATAGGCGACGGTTACCACTTTCCATCAGGTGGGCCGGCAGCTTGTTTGCCATTCGAAGTTGTATAAAAAAAAACATACAAAATTCGCACATACGTCCAAAAACTAACTCTTCTGTAACATTCTGGCAAATCGATTAACACTCGCAACTTAAGTAACATTAAACGATTATTAAAAAAAAAATTAGAAATTTCAAATCGGCCATTTCCTGCGAATTGGACCCCACCATAAATCCGGAGTGCGGTTTCGGGCCGC